TTTTTCAAATATCGGCATTGGCCGATAAGTTTTTCTGTTTGGCTGATGCGTTCGAGGCGGGACTTTTATTTTGACGGCGCTGAGAGCGGCAGCGCCTGAGCACATAGTGCTCACATTCTCCCTTTTGTTCGCCGTCGTCGTAATACGGATAGAAGCCTGTCTAATAATCCGATAGAGGTGTAAACAAAGGAATTAAAATGTATACAAAAAGTATTATAACGATTGCTTTTATATTATTAGTAATAGAAAGGCAAACATTATAATACTTTATCGTTTGCCGTCAGCATTCAGCAAATACGCATTTACATCATTTAAACAAATCTTTGAATGGCTAATGAAAATTTAATTTCACAAACCTTGCAAACTTAGTCGAATCCAGTTGTGAGATCTTGTGAAGTCAAGTGTGCATGTGACCTGCATAATCGCGTGTTCTCTGCATGACTTTCGGTCCGTGCAAATTGAATGCTTTAAACATTAAATGTGATTTCAAATTATGCATTTGCCCACTGTCATATTCATGTCATTTTCACTGTGTGCTGTATGTAAAATGAGTGTTACCTTGGCTTTATTTGAAAAAATATGATTCCCAATGCACACAAACTTCCCAGAATACTGAGTGCTCTGTTGGTTACAGTTTACTTAATTTTTAATGATATTTTTATTAAATATTTATTTATTTGTGAAAAATACTTAATCTAAAGTATAAGTATGTTTATTTTACAAATTTATTTTTTAATCCATTTTCAAATGATTTCAAATTTCTTAAATATTAATTAAAATAAATACAATTATATTATATTATATCGGCCATCGGCCACCCTGCTTTTCAAGATATCGGCATCGGCATTGGCTGTAAAAAAAACAATATCGGTCGACCACTACATACAATATCCAAATGTATGTCATTTCAATGATATGGCCTTTGTGTAGATTTTTAAATATGGCCATCTTTTAGTATGACTGTTGAAATGAAATGTGAACCTGGACCACAAAACCAGTCATAAGGGTCTTTTTAAAAAAAAATAATAATAATAAATAATGAATAAATAAAGCTTAATAAATAAGCTTTCCATTGATGTATGGTTTGTTAGGATAGGACAATATTTGGCCAAGATCTGAGGGTGCAAAAAAATCAACATATTGAGTAAATCACCTTTAAAGCTGTCCAAATGAAGTTATTAGCAATGCATATTACTAATCAAAAATTAAGTTTTGATATATTTATGGTAGGAAATTTACAAAATATCATCATGGAACCATGATCTTTACTTAATATCCTAATGATTTTTGGCATAAAAGAAAAATCGATAATTTTGACCCATACTATGTATTGTTGGCTATTGCTACAAATATACCTGTGCTACTGATGACTGGTTTTGTGCTCCAGGGTCACAAATGGTAAAACTTAACCATTAGTAACATTAAGATTAATGTGTTTATTTCAACATTTACTATTACAAATCCATTTTTAAATTTTAAAGTTTCTTCTTGTTAACATTAGCTAATAAATTATAAATAACTTTTAATGATCAATATAATAATTAATATTAATATTTTTGTTCATTTGCAAAGTATGGTTCAGTACTGTGTGTGTGTGTGTGTGTGTGTTTTCTTTTAATGGTAATGCATTATTTTAGTTTTCATTCAGTATCCATTTTAAAAACTATCGGTTGATTAATCGGTATCGGCCAGTGTGGTCCAAGCTAGCTATCGGTATCTGTATAAAAATTGGTCGACCTCTATCTAAAATGTTTGTTTCTTCATTGGAATGGATTTGCTCACCAGTGGATCCTCTGTAGTGAATGGGTGCCGTCAGAATGAGAGTCCAAATAATAATTGATGGACTGGAATCGTGGATTACTTGTGGATTATCGTGATGTTTTTATCAGCTGTTTGGACTCTCATTCTGACGGCACCCATTCACTGCAGAGGATCCATTGGTGAGCAAGTGATGTGATTTAACATATTATCTGCTATTTTAAGAGATATAGTGACTTCTCTGTGATACCATTTCCTGTTTTCCTGTGTTTTTTCTATCTGCGTGTTGTGCAACATTATTTTTTGGCAAACCAAAGTTTTTAATAAAAGCAGTAAAGCTGTTTTCTTAAAAATTATTGTGAAAGATTATGCCGAACTTCTTAGAGAGGTTTTATTTTCAAGAATTTCATTCATGGTAGACATCCCTTAGACCTGGGTGATCCTGGGACATATCTGGGGACCAGAATATCTTCGACCTGTAAACAACAAATAAGCAACCACTTAGCATCATGATGAGTTTTGCACAGACAAACACCACTAACATTGTCTTCAGGAAAATCTAGTCGGAGCAGGACAAGGTCTCCCCGCAGAATAATTGGGATCTTTTATGGTAAATGATTACAGACTTTGCTCCGAGTTCATTTCCAGTGATTTGATTGTGTACAGAAGCTTAGAATGATGGAACGTTCCAGCTCCTCTGGCAAACGACACAATTCATTCCAAACATGAGAAAGAACTGAAAGAGAAATAGCGCATGCTGCACCATCCATGGGGGGTCAGGCACGCGAGATCTGTGCAGGAACTGATGTTTTAGATTTGCCTCTGTCTTTACATTCAGATGTTTATGCCAGGATGGAGAACAGAGATGGTGACTGGGTTTTGTATAGAAATATAATCCTGGTGTTGCTTCCAGCAGCTTATATAAGACAATATAAAACGTATAAAAGTGACAAATCGTTGAAAAATAAATGTGCTTTTATTGTAGACACAGATTTTGTTTAACAGAGTGCCACATCATACACTACAAATCGTGAATCAGGGACTTTTCATAAAGCTATAAAACCAAGAGCTATTTTTTCATTAAAAAGCTGAGGCATCTGGATTTGACTATTTCCAAGATCCTATTAAAATATAATGTCACTCCCACACCAGTTGATCTTTTTATGCAACAAGTTTTGATTTAATAGCTTTGTCCGGTTTAAATATGACAGTGTCATGTCAGTTAAGAATTTAAAATATGAAATTTCTTCTAAATTGATAATTGGAACAGCCCGAATACTGGCTTTTCCAGTTTGCATGATTATATAAAATATTAAAAGCATATGCATTAAAACAGCTCCAAAGCATTGGAAACCAGCTGAATGGAAGCCAACCCAAAAATAAAGTGCTTGGAAGCCAAGCCAAAAGTAAGCACGACTTCTTTGTTTTTCCATATACAATATGTTTATCCATATTCATTAAAACAAAAATGCGATGCCTGGACATGCAACCAATACTATGACATATTGTCATGCCTTGGTAATGACACTTATATAACATAGGAAAATAGCAAGTGATGTCATGTTTTGTGCACAATTGGCCAAAGCTCTTTTTATCATCAGTTTATATACTTCAGTGATATCGTCTAACATCTCCCTGTCTCTGTTTACCCGCAGGACTGCTCCAGCTCGGAGGAATACACTGTAGCCGCCGCCTTGCTGCCCCTGACAACGGCCTTCTACCGGGTAAGTAAGAGTTGAGGTCAGGCTGACAGCAGGCATACTGGCAGCTCAAGTTACTGGATCCTAATCACAGCACATCAACACTGGCACCAGCGTTCATTAAACCTGGAAGAAGGGAACAATTTCCACCTGTCTCCATCGGCTCAGTTTAACTCTCAAGGCCCCGATATACTTCAAGAATGAACTGTGTAATCCAGCCAAAACGAAGTTTGTTTGGAGTTCATTACGAGAGTTTGAAACAGCTTGTCAGTGCAAACTTTCCAAAACACCTTCAAACTACCATTGATCCATGGCTATTATGCAAGATATTCTCTGGTTCATTTCTTCTGTTCAGTCCGTCGAGATCAGACCTTCACGAGGGAAAACATGAGCATGCTGCAGAGCTGCTTTATAGTAGGGATTGAAGTTGTAATTCCAATTGAAAGCGACGCTGACACTGTTTTTCATGTTTATTTTGTAAAGCTTCTTGCTTTAAAGCAATCTATCTGTAAAGTGCTATAGACAGTAAATGAACATGACTTGACTGGAGTGCAGAATTGCATACCTGGTTCATCCATATCCACATCGTTACGATCAGATGCTTTCTTAACTGCTGTTTTCTCACCACAGTCATTTTTAACCCAGCCAAAACGAAGTTTGTTTGGAGTTCATTACGAGAGTTTGAAACAGCTTGTCAGTGCAAACTTTCCAAAACACCTTCAAACTACCATTGATCCATGGCTATTATGCAAGATATTCTCTGGTTCATTTCTTCTGTTCAGTCCGTCGAGATCAGACCTTCACGAGGGAAAACATGAGCATGCTGCAGAGCTGCTTTATAGTAGGGATTGAAGTTGTAATTCCAATTGAAAGCGACGCTGACACTGTTTTTCATGTTTATTTCGTAAAGCTTCTTGCTTTAAAGCAATCTATCTGTAAAGTGCTATAAATGATGTAAATGAACATGACTTGACTGGAGTGCAGAATTGCATACCTGGTTCATCCATATCCACATCGTTACGATCAGATGCTTTCTTAACTGCTGTTTTCTCACCACAGTCATTTTTAACGTTTATTTTGATATTGAGAGGAAAACGCACAGCACATATTTACATGTTCATATAAAGGCCACTCTTAGAAGCGTGGCATTGCTTGTGTGTAGGCTGCATATTTTGGCCAAATATTTTGTGATTATATATCAATATGACTATAATAATAGTACAACTAATAATAATAATAACTATTAATATTAAATCAAATAAAAAATTTAACAAAATCAGAAATATTGCTATGTAATATCTCACTGTAGAAAATGTATTTAGGAAAAATAATAAAATACATTTATTTTCAGAGTACATCTGTAAAATTACAATACCACTGAAAATTATGTGGTCGGATTCACTTTAAAATAGCCTCATTTTCAGTCAGAAATTGTAGCATCAAGATGTTCACTAAAAGTATATCACTGCTCAGGTATTCCTGAGTAAAACTTCCGTTTACTCCTAAGTGAAGAAGGGAAAAAGAACTTCGCTGTGAGTACATTTAGGCTTTGTGATCCACTCCATTCAGCCCATCGCTGAAGAAAACCACTAAGAAGCATGACAGTCACTCTAGCCTAGTTCGGTTTCGCTGTGGTACAGTGGGAAAAGGGGGAAGTACGGGTTGCAGGATTTGGAGAGCGTCTGGCTTTAAACACCAGTCCATCACGTACCCACATTATAGTTGTCATAGAGACAGACACAACTGACTGTGTTGCTTTTTAATTGTGGGCTGCTCTGTGATCCGTCTGCTGTGCCTCACACTATGCACAGAAGACATGTGATGTAATCAAATATCTCGTTGGTGACCCTCATGTTCGTTTGTGGGACAATAGCACTTGTCTAAGCCTAAGACACCTAACTGTAACACTATACATTATACATTTTCATGGTCAACGTAACCCAAAATCTTACGATAAGATTGTTTCTTCCATCCAGGAATGGGTTTAAATTCCTTTGGGTTTGGAATGACCTGCAGGAAACTATCACTCTAAAAATAACGGTTTGCAGTTTATCAGAAAGTACTGTCAGAAAGACTGTACTTGAAAAGAACTTGAAATTCATACCTTGAAGAGGTTAGAAAGAGCTTCAGATCTTGATGTCAGGACATTGCAGGTAGTTGCCCAGGAGCTGCAAGCACTTGCTATGCACTTGCTAGGGTATTACAGCATATGGCTGCATAGTGGATAGGGCTACATGATTTGGGTGAAAAATCTAATTGCATTTTTCTTTTTTTTTTCTTTTTTTTTTTTAGAAATTGTGGTCGCAAATGTTAAATTTTTTTAAGGTCCAGGTTTGCTTTTATTATTTGTAGGGCTGTACAATTTGGCCAAATGTTGTGATTATATATCAATAATGATAATAATAATAATAACAACAACAATAACAGTAATAATAAAAATAATTATTATTATTATTGTTGTTGTTGTTACTAATAAATATTAAGCAAAATTGTACACTGTTGTAATATTTCACACCAGGAAAAAAAAAATATTTACAAAGATTAATATAATAATACATTTATTTTACATAAAAAAATAGTTGTAGTATTTACTTGAAACAGTTTCCACTCAGAAATTGCTAGCAAATTTCACAAATCCTTACAAAGAAGCAACAAGTAACGTGAAATTTTTAAGTAAAAAGACTGGAATAGTATTTTCTTGTAAAAACCTACTCCCAATATTTTAAATCACAAGTACGGTGTATTTATGTCGCTCACATGCTCTGATTGAGGCAAACGATTCAAGTCTTTCATTAATACATCTGAAAGCTATTTCTTCAAACCTTGAATTTCCTGTTTTTCCATTTTCCTGTTTCACATTTGCCATTTTTATGTAAGAGCCAATCCTGATTAAAGCATTACACTAAAAAGAGCTGACAGTCAGATTTGTGAAGCCCTCACGACGGAGATAAACAGCACGCTCAACAAGAGAGATAAATGACTCCAGAAGGACTCATGCCACTGATTTCCCACAAACCAAAGGCTAAATTATTAAGGTCAACTCAACAAATATATTTTACGTATTACCTGAAATCAATTCTAACCCCAGCAAGATGCACTAAAATGCTGTGCAGTGGCTCTAATCTGTGTTCTGGCTATCCTTAGATGATCTCTGTGTCACACAACAATTAAACCCTCATGCATTTTTCCGTGAGTCTGAGCTCCACATGCCCTCCCCTTCACTCCCAGTAGCCTTGTACTAAACCACACTGCATGTTATTGAGGTTCTCAGTGCAGGCTTGGCAGGAGATAAAGGCTTCCCGCCACTCTACTTAAGGATGACCCAACTGAAGTATGGACATTACCGCAGACAAACTAGAGCTCAGTGTTGCATTTGCGTTCTTGAAGCGCAAGTGTGATCTCTCAATAAGAACACAAGTTGCATGATTCAAGGTATCATTCATAGCACAAATGGCTGAGTTTGAATGATCAATGAGTTATGCATCTGGGATAAGGGTTTGTTTGAATCCCCAACCCTAAGTATGAGTAACTGCAATGCTTGTCTTAGCAAACACCTTTTTTTTTTTTACCTCGGGACCAAAGGGACTCAAAGACTCGACCACAAAGTCAACAAAACAATTCCCACAAAGATCCGCTCCGTTTACAACTACCTCTTTGCCTTGATTTACAACCTAAACCTTTTTCAGCATTGTAAATGAGTGCTTTACGTAACCTGAATAACTCTTAGCTCATTGTTTCTTGGCTTGAGAATGATTTTATGCCACGGATACCTCAAAGTCACCTCAAATGGAGATTTGTAGGACGAAAAACAACTTGACACCCAATACGTCATTGCTTTCCTTGTGAGAAATCACGCGCTCTCACACACGGTCAGGTTTGCCGTAGCAGGTCGAAAGGTTTCTCGCAAGTGATCGGCACGCATCTCATTTAGCCTTTGAGCTCTGATTCATTCTCTTTCTTCTGGGAAATGCTGAGCCTCAGGGCAGTTAATTGATTTTAGTAAGCAAGGTCGTTGACATACTGGGCTGTCATTCACAGATCATCACTCAAATAAAGCCTTCCTGCTCATTGAACAGTTAAAGATGGCATATAAAGACTCTTTACAAGTGTTATAGCAGGGGATACTAGATATGGAAAAAATTAGGTCAGAGTCTGGCTTTTGTTATGCATTTTAGGCTCATTGTATAAACAGCTTTTAAACATAAAATAATTTGTTTGCGACGTGACACAATCACAGTCATTCCAAACATATTTTATGTTTAATAACATCAATTTGGGGCAGGATTTTAGGTCAGTGAGATTTCAATGTGGGTCGGGACCCTGTAAAATGCCACAGTAGTCCAATTAATTCAACTGTCAAAACTTCCTGTTGCTCGACACTTGACACTGCATTTGCATACAATAAATCCAGTCATAAAAATAGAATTTACAGAATAATGCGGAATGTCAAGGAATTTGGTCAATTTTGGATGAACAAATCAAAAGTTGAGCTGTAAACGTAATCAAATCGTGATGTGGTCTGTGAATATTAAAGAGCAAAAATAAATCAAAATATGAAGTCTGCATGTTCTGCGTGCGTGTCTCTGTCAATGATTGGCACAGCTGGCTGCTACACACTTACTCATGCACATGTATTGCTTACTGTGTTTTCAGCATCTGCCATCTCACTATATGAGGACATGAAACCAAACTTCATCTCCAGAGCTGCCCCAAGGCCATGTGTCCACTGAAGTGTTTTTAGCCAGCTGAGAATGCCTGGTGCTCTGCTGAAAAAGCAATGTAAAGTACTTGCTCTGGCCCTTGTTTTAAATGATTTTGTTCCGTTGTTGTGCTTGTTGTTGTCGTCTGTTGCTGCTGTACAAGCAGGATGTGGCGGTTGGTCGGTGTGGTATTTGTCCCGCCCTTCCTTCACTGTGATTGGACGGCTGGTTGAAATGTGACAGTGATGAGCGCTGGGTTTTACCCCAAATTTGAACATTCTTCAACTTTCACCACCGAGAAAAAACACCCTGAGCGCGTAGCAC